TCCCCCCAGGATTGCGACGTTGTCACCGGCCCGGCAGCAAGTCAGGAATACCTCGATGGAAAGACCACCCTCGGCAAGCTGCTGCAGAAAGCGCAGCGTCTGCGGCCCGACTTTCATCCTTGCAGGGTCACAAGGCAGGCTGGGGAAGCAATATTCAAGGATGCTGGCTGCTGCTCGCGTCTCCATTGAGAACAGCGACACCACGCGCGGCCCGCAGACCGCGTCTCATAAATGTGAACGGCCGGTGACTAGCCGCTACGCGTAAGTCCACGCCGTAGGAGGCCGGCACTTCTGATGCCGCGCCATTTTTCGCACGCAATCTTCGGCATCGCCAGTCAGTCTGCAACACCCTAAATCGCTGTCTATACGCCCATCCCCTCTTGACGCCATCGCTCGAAATCCGAGTTTCTTGGGCGCGCTGGGTGGTTTTCCGCTTTGCCGCATTTAGTCGTCGGACCTGCAAGCGGAGCCACGGCGTCTACCGCGGGCACTATCTGCGCGGGTTGGGCACGCGCCTGGGCTCCTCTCAGGCCGACGAGTACGTCAGGAACCTAAGTTGGTACTTTCGCTTCAGGAGCTGCCCAGGCTAGCTCGCGGCGTTGCATGGCCCGCAGCTGTTTGATGTCTTCGTCCTGGTCCCCTTCCACGTCGCTGTTGCTGGTCTCGGTGCAACGCACTGCGAAGCTGGCGCAGGTGTTCTGCAGCGCTTCGCAGGGGCCAGAGACTTGCCGCACCCCTTCGACGTCGAAGTACACATGCGATTCCGCGCCAGCCGCGTGGATGCAGTCAACGCGTTTAGCTGCTAGGAGACCATGGGACAGCTCCAGCTCCTCGCCAAAGCTCGCGGGCTCGAATCCAAACGAGCGGGCGCAAGTCCGCAGCTCGAGGGAAAGCGCGCGCGAGGCAAAGGCTGCGCTGGGCGGCCCCCGGCAGGAAAGTCCCCCGCGCGGACCAGGCTAAAGGGAAATTGGGACACACAAATAAATACACACAAATAAAAATAGTCCCCCATATTTTCCCATATTTTCTGGGTTTTTGTCTTCCCCCCCAATTCCCATATTTTCCCATATTTTCCTGGGAATCGAGGATTAATTGTGTCTGTGTGTTTTTTTCCCTCCTGACAGGCGCCGCCGCGCCACGACGCCCGCGCGAGGAACCCAGAGTTCGCCGAGAGGGCCCTGCGCGGCGCCAGGGGGGCCCCGGCGACGAACCACTGCCGCTGGCGCCTGCATCGCAGCGCCCAGGAGCCGCCGAGACCTCATCAGGAGGGGAAAAAACACACAGACACAATTAATCGGCGATTCCCAGAAAATATGGGAAAATATGGGAAGTGGGGGGGAAGACACAAACCCAGAAAATATGGGAAAATATGGGGGATATTTTTATTTGTGTGTATTTATTTGTGTGTCCTAATTTCCCTTTAGGGGCCCTGGCGACGAACCATTGCCGCTGGCGCCTGAATCGCAGCGCCCGGGAGCCGCCGAGGCCTCGGCCGACGCAGCCCCGCGGAGAATGCCCACGGCAAAAAAAAAAAAACGCGGCCCCGCCATGTCTGGCACGGGCCCCGAGATGCGGCGCGCACACCCTCGCGCGGCACGCCGCCAGACGCCAGGGGCGCCGGCCCCCGTGGAACGGACGGCGCGGGGGCGGCGACCGCAGGGGCGGGCCCACGCCCGCGCCGCAGATCTCGCCCGAAGCGGCGGCGGGAAGGGCGGCGCGCCACCCGGGCGGCCGCCGCGCAAACCCGCCGCGGAGGCACGCCTCGCGCCCGCGCGAGGCGCTGCCCGCAGCGGCCGCCAGCGCGGCGGCCCCCGCGGCAGGCCCGCGGAGCTGCTTGGCCCCCCCCGTGGCGGGGCAACACCTGCGCCAGAGCCTTGACGAGGAGGGGAGCTCCATCCCGCGCTCGCCCCCGCCCCCCCCCCCCCCTTCCCCCTCGCGCGCCCCCTCCCTCTCGCCGCCTGCCCCTCGCCCGCCCCCCCCCGCCAGCGTCTCCCCTCCCCCCCCGCCGTTCCCCCGCCGCCCCCCCCTCCCCCGGCGGCGCCGCGCCTCTGCCGGGCGCGCGCGCGCCCCCTTCGCCGGCCGCCCCCCCGCCGCGGTCGCCGCCCCACCTGCCCGGAGGGGGGGGGGAGATGGAGGGAGGAGAAAAGGAGGAGGAGGAGGAGGAGGAGGAGGAGGAGGAGGAGGAGGAGGAGGAGAGGAGGAGGAGGAGGAGGAGGAGGAGGAGGAGGAGGAGGAGGAAGCCTCGCCCGGGGGGGGACGCGAGCGCCCCGCGCGGCGCGCGGGGGAGGCGGGGGCGGCTAAGGGCGGCGAGAGAGAGACGCAACTTTGCATCGCCGCGCGTCTGCCCGACGCCCTCAGCACCAGTCGCCCGCTGCCTGCGGGGCCATGGCATCAACGCGGCCAGGAGGCACTGGGCCTGGAATTTGTTGAGCCCTGGAGCCCAGCGCCCCGGAGTTAAGGAAGCCCCGGGGCCCTGGCGCCGCGGCCAAAACTGCGCGGCCGCGAACGCCCGCGCCGCCCGCCGCGACGCCCCGCCCTGCCGCCGCCAGGTCGGGGGCTGTCCCCCCACGGAAGATTGTACGTAAAAAACAAAAATCACGACAAAATAGCTCAAACGAGTAATCGAAGAAATCGCCCCCATCTTATTTATGAGCTATTTTTGGATACCCCCCCCCGTAGAGGGGCAGGCCCGACCCAGTGCTACCGACGCGTCGCGGACGCCACGAAAACTGCGCGAGCCTGGCGCCGACGCCCCACAAGGGTGCGCCAGCCTCGCGCGGGCGAGAAACACATCGTCAATCGAGCAGGGGCTGCGCGCTCTGGCGGCGGAGCGCTCCCCCCAGAAGAAAGTCGGCGCGGACCAGTGAAAGAAACGGCATGCTTCGGGCGGGTTTGCATGCGCGCGCAATCAGTGCAAATATGTCCTGGGTCGTTTTAGGGCATGTCCCGGGCCGGCATAGATCCGCGCTTGCCCGTCAATATCCGCCGCCGCGCCTCGAGGCGCCGAGTGGACGCGCCCGCAGGTCCTCTGCCTACTCTGCCGAACCCCTGAAGCCCCAATCCTCGCCTTTGAAAAATCTGCCGGGGGCAGCCGAGAGGGGGGTGTCCAAGAGGGGGGGCGAAGATCATGGCCTGCGGCACGCGCTCGGCCCCAGGGGGGGGGCCAGGGACACAATGAAATACTAAGATGCGCCATGAAACCTGAGGAATTATCATGGCCCGCGCCACGACTCGCACGCCCCTAGTCCCCACGAAGGCCACTCGAGAGCTCCGGTGGCGGCGAAACCAGCCCTGAAAAGCTCTAACAGGGCTCCGAAAGCAGCCCACGACAGCCTACCTCCTCCTCCTCTCCCTTTTCCTCGATTTGCCTTCCCCCGCTTCCCCCCCCACCCCACCCCCTGCCCCCCCTGCCCTGCTCCTGCTTCTTCTCATCCCCCTCCTCCTCATCTCTCTCCTTCTCGGCGGCATCGGCCATAAGGCCTTGACAAGAACTCATCCCTGTCGCACCCCCAGACGCCCTGGTGGGGCGGGCCAGGCGTTTCGCCTGAGACCTCCTCGTCATGTCTGATCCTGAAGCTCGAGTTCCCCGGCAGCTTCAGGGATGGAGGGCGGGTCGTTTGCAGAACGTGGCTCTCGTGTTTGACGCTGCGCACGTGCGCCTCGAAAATGACAACGACTCACGGGTGGGCAGGAGAGCCCAGAATCCAATCGATAAATCGGATCGGCAATCGACATGAATCGGATCGGCGGAAATCGGCAGCCGAATCGGGAAAAGTAGAATCGGCGGAAATCGGCAGGCTAGTATGCCTCCAATAAAAAATCGGATTCCAAATCGGAAGCCCAAGTCGAATCGAATCGGAATCGGAAGCCATCGAAATCGAATCGAATCGAATCGGAGGAATCGAAACGAGCCCTGGGGTGGAGGGCGGGTCATTTGCAGAACGTGGCTCTCGTGTTTGACGCTGCGCACGTGCGCCTCGAAAATGACAACGACTGGGTGGAGGAGGAGGAGGGGGGGAGGAGGAGGAGGAGGAGGAGGAGGAGGGGGGGGAGGAGGAGGAGGAGGAGGAGGAGGAGGAGGAGGAGGAGGAGGAGGAGGAGGAGGAGGAAGAGGAGGAGGAGGAGGAGGAGGAGGAGGAGGAGGAGGAAGAGGAGGAGGAGGAGGAGGAGGAGGAGGAGGAGGAGGGGTGGGCGGGGCGTTCCCGGTGTGCGGCTCTCGCCTCAGCACCGCAGACAATTCGCCGTGAGACTCCGCCAACAGCTCCACGGGCGGAGGGCGGGCGGCTTCCGGCGTGCGGCTGTCACCACTGAAGGGGAATTGGGACACACAAATAAATACACACAAAAAAAAAAATCCCCAATATTTTCCTATATTTTCTGGGTTTTTGTCTTCCCCCCCACTGCCCATATTTTCCCATATTTTCTGGGAATCGCCGATTAATTGTGTCTGTGTGTTTTCCCCCTCCTGAACCACGGCGCCGCGCAGACTCGTCCTCGGAGCCTGCAGCGGTCTCAGGGGATGGAAGGCGGCTCATATTCCAAAGACGACTCCTGGCCTCGGAGCCGCGCGCACGTGTGTCTCAAAAGCTGGGAGCACGTTCAGAGATTCGTACGGAAGAAGGCCCAAGAATGATCTGGCACGGTTCAGGACTGTCAAGACGCAACAAACACGTTCACTCGCGATGTTGAAGTCCCACGCTTTAGGATTGTCTGGACGCAACGGCAACATTGCTCCGCGTCGATAAAATCCCAGCAACTGCGTTAGGGCACGATTGAGAATTCTGAGACGGTTGTCTGGGCCGCTGCCCGTAATGAAAACAAACTATGTTAGGGACACGTGACGAGGAAACTTGGAGGAGGGGTCATTGCGAGGACGGACTCATTCGTGGAAAGTTGTTGACGGCGACCCTCGAGGTGTGCAAGATTGAAGGGAAAAAGGACAGGCGCCCTGCTGTTCCTGCCATTGCTCCCCCGCACGCTCTCTCCGTGGTCGCCTTTCTTCAGTGCTTGTGGACAAGAGTGTTCTTCTCGGTGCCATAGTTCGTGCTCTGTGCAGGGCAAGGCCGAATGGCCATCATCGGAATGTCTGTACCTAGATAAGGCGACTGGCCACACGGTAAGGGTTCCTCACGGTCGGCGCTTACACCTCGCTGGGGACTGGGTCCATCCATCTCACTACATGGCTTGCCACGAGCCGTTGGCCCTTTGGTTCTGCAAGTCGTGTGTGTGGGCTGTAACCTCGGCGGGCTTGCGGATAAGTGCACGTGGCCCGACTCCCCAGTGACGAAGACGGGGCGATTATACCTCGACCGCATGCCACGGTACCGTTGGCCTAAAGTGCTCAGCGAGGCTGAGCAGGCGGCTCGGGGTCGGTGTCACTAATTACATAGGCTCGCTTCGCGGCTGGTCGCATCTCATCTCATCACCTCCTTGTCCTCCTCCTGCTCGTCTTTCTCCTCAACCTGTTCTTAGTTCTCCTCCTCGTTCTGCTGCTCGTCCTGATCAGGCTAATCCAGAACTGGTTCTATTGCGTGCTCCTACACTGTCCTGATCAATGCAACTGGGGAAACGCGAAGAAAAAAGAATATGGATCCGCGCACGCAAAGCCACAATCTCTTGTAAAACAACGGTTGGCCCGCGCATCCAAAGCCAAAACCACTTTGGCGAAATATGCATGAGCACTCTCAGGACACAAGCTCCAAATTAGGCCTCTGACCTTTCTGCTCGCCCTCCTCCTCGTTCTCCTCCTCGTCCTATTCCGCCTATTCCTCCTCATCCCTTTTCCCTTTTCCCCTGCCCCTCCCCCTTCTCCTTCTCCTCCTCCAATTTCTCCTCCATCCTCCCCCTCTTGGGGGGACGACGGCTTCCCCAACTTTGTTTCCACTGAATGTTCCACCACAACCTTGCTCAAGTCAACTCGTATGGGCAACGTGTCTGTATGGACGAAGGGGGTTACTCGAAACATCTAGGACATCAAAAGAACCGCGTTGCCAGGGCCAAGGGCAATGTTCTTTTCGACAGGGCAGCCATTTATCTGTCTAGCCAGCCAGCCAGGGCACCAACCGACAACAGCCGTTCCGCAAGGCAACCGACAGGCCTGGACACCGCTGCTCCCCGGACCCCCTGTGCACTCCGGACAGAACTTCGAAGCGAACTCCGCCGTGACGGCGAGGGCCTCCCGGGAGGCCCCCGCAAAACAGAACGAGGGGTGTGCAGAGGCATCGTGAAGAGGCCCACAAACACACAAATAAATACACACAAATAAAATTACTCCCCATATTTTCCCATATTTTCTGGGTTTTTGTCTTCCCCCCCACTTCCCATATTTTCCCATATTTTCCTGGGAATCGAGGATTCATTGTGTCTGTGTGTTTTTTTCCCTCCTGAAGAACGAGGGGTGTGCAGAGGCATCGGTGCCTCTTCCTCCTCTGCGGGCAACCAAACCATCAGCCAGTCAAAAAGTAGTCCAGAAATAGTCTGGGGACTAGCTTTTGATTATCTCTTGACCTTTTTGGGGCACTGTTGGGACATCTTTCATTATGTATGTTGCACCGAAAATCCCGCTGTAGGGGGACACGCCCGACCCACCGCCCAGCCTGCCAGCCAGCCAGGACGAGGGACGGGGCCGGCGGCAGGGGACGGAGCCTCTCGGATTTGATGGACGTGCCCTCGACCGGATTGCACAGGTCTAGATTGAGGAGAGCGGCGATCTCGTACGAGGCGAGGAACGCGCAGCCGGTCAGACCGCGAGGGTGCGGTATGCCTGGCGCGATCTCCCAATCGCTCGAGGTTGCCAGCATCCGGAAGAACCAACCGAGCGTGATGGACTGCACGATTACCTCCGCTTCTCGCTCCGACGGGGCGATGCCGACGTAGTCTTCATTGACGACGTTCTTCACGCCGTCCTCGAACCCAGGCTTGGTGTACAAGTACTGGAAGAGGCCACGCACGTAGCGAAACCACGCGAGGTTCTCCCGCGGCATCGCTGTGCAGTCCTCGGCCGCCAGGCTTCGCGGAGGGCGCCCCCCGCCCGAGACGCTCCGAGACGGCCTCGAGGCAGCCTCCAGGCGGGCCCAAGAGAGCTCCAGGGAAATCCACGAAGTCTCCAGACGACCCTTCTGTGGCAACTCGTGGGAGTCTCCCATACCATCTGACGGGCTCTTGGTACTCGACGCTGATCGGCGCTAAATCGACGCTAATCGACGCTGGCCGACGCTAGATCCGCACTATCGGATCGACTCCCAGACTCAGACGCTCGTCGACACTCATCGACGCGAAATTTGGAATTACGAGGGTGCACCCAGCTCCCATGATTTGCTACCGAACGACCCATCGATTGTCCCGAGGCTGCTCATGACCCTTCGCCCTCGCCCATGGCTACCGCCGCAAGAGCGGGCGGCGGCGGCGGGACGGGAGGAGGACCGCTCGCCAGCTCCGAAGTCGCCGACCCCACGGGCCGAAGGCATGCCATCATCTCTGGTGGGAGGATCATAGCACTTGTATTTTGAAGGAGCTCGACCACAAGATACCTTCCACAAGAAGCCTGACCCTGCGACCCCAGGGCGTTCATCGCTTGTTGGTGTGGCAACGTCACGCTTTCCATTGTATCACCATCCTAACCCAAGAAACCAAGGGCACCCTGGAGGCAAGCAGGGTGCTTCCTGGCATGGGCCTCCACTGTATTGCCAGCTCGTTCGCAAACTCCTCCCCCCACCTGCTGTCCTACCCCATCCCTTTCCCTTCCCCCCTCCGCCGACTCCTTCACCTCCGCACCCTCGTCCCTCCACAGCCGCCTCCATCCCAATCCGTCCCTCCAGACTTCTGAAGTCCTGCTCCACCTCCTCGCACCACCTCTCATCAATCCCTCCTCCCGCCCATCATGGTCCTACCAATCGCCTCATATCCAGCATAAACGTTCGACGGCCCGCGCAAACTCCTTGGATCTGCGCCGGAACCCCCTCGCTGGCGTGCGGAGCCAGAGACGCCGCCAAGGGATTTCCGCACAAATCCAAGAGATCCGCGCGGAGAGCCGGGAGTTTACAGTCGGACCCAGGCCAGAAGAACATCCTTCAAGAACATGAGACCTTCCGCTGGCCGAGACTGAAGAACACTCGAGGGTCCCCCCCCCCAGGATGCACAAGAGCATCCGACCAGCACTAAGAAAATCAGGGTACCCTCCCCGAACGGGCCTCGATTTTACACCTCGGCCCGACCGTACGTCTATGCCGCTCTTCCCCTTCGGATCCAGCTCCTACCATCACTCGGACGCCGACTCCCCCCGTGCATTTGCTCGGCCCCGTGCGTGCTCTCTCTGCCGCTCGAGGGCCCAGGATACTCCTCGACGGCCCCCAGCCGAGGACAACAAAAAGGCACACGCCCGAGCGAGGCCAAGGAGCCCCGTTCCGTGCCCACCTTCCCCCCCTCCCCGAGAGCTGGCCTCCCTCCCTCCCTCCTCCTCCACCTCCTCCTCCTCTTCCTGTTCCTCCCCCCTCTCCTCCCGCTTCGTTCCAACCTGGCCCCACTCCCGAGAGCTGGCCTCCCTCCCCCTGCCGCCCCCTCCAGTCTCCACCGCTTCCCCCCGGAGAACTCGCCTTCCGCCCTCCGCCCGCCCCGGCCCGCCGCAAGCAGCCCTCCCCCGGGGACGTGTCCCTCGTCCGCCTCCTCTGCCCAGCCTCGAGCCTCGCCTGGTCTGCCGGCGGCGGGCGAAGGGCGGGCCTCCTCGGGAGGTTCGGAAGTCCGCCCCAGCCCTTTCGGGGAGTCTTCTGAGCCTTTTCCTTCTCACGTTTTTCCCCCCCCTCGCCCGCCGCCGACCCTTGTGTATTCCCTGCGTCCGCCCCCGAGACAGCGTCGAACCTACCCCGATGCTTGGGACTGACACGCCCAAAAACGATGACATTCTTGGGGGCGCGCCGTCAGACGGGAAATTTGGCCCCATTGGAGGGCTGCGACGTTGGATCAGGACGCGGACTAAGCGGGACTCAGCGGGACCAAGCCGGATTTACCCGAACTACACCAGACAAGGTGGATGAAGCAGGATTTCGTGCCAAGGCAAAGCCAGAACTTGAGCTCCAAGGAGTTGCATCCGAGCCTCTCCTTGATGTGTCCTTCCGCCCGCCCTCTCACAAGCCCCCGAAACGATTCTTGTCCCCAACATGGGCACTCAAAGAGGCGAGGACACATCTTGGGGACGCCCCCTCAAAAACGGAGGGAGCCCTTAAGATTGGCATCGAGACGAGGCGATGCCGATTCTGGGAAGGGCGTTTGTTCCAAGCTGGCAACCCTCACCCGCCCGTCGCCGCGCCGACCGCGCAGGGCAGTCGCAACGAAGGAGCGGAAGGACACGCAGTCGGACCCAGGCCAGAAGAACATCCTTCAATAATTAGCCCGGCGAAGGACCCGATCGCACGCAGTTCCGAACACCGCATCTGCGAATGTTCTCTTCGGCAGAGCTCCTCTCGAGGGCAGGAAAAAGCGCGAAGGGCGCGCCAACGTGGAACGGCGGCGGCGCGTTTCGGCGGAGCTCCCGGTCGGGCTTTCGGCGTTGCCCCCATCGGTCCGCGATCTGCTCGATAGATGGCAGCGAGAAAAGCAAGGCCGTCCAAGATCGCCCCCCCCCCCCCGCTTTTCCCCTCTCCGCGCCGGCGCGCCCCATTGCCACCATTGCCCAAGGCCGCGGGCGCAGCGCGGCGCAGGGCCCTCGCGACGCGTGCCGGTCGCCCCGCGGGAATCCCAGAGACGCGCGCGGGTCGCCCGGTGCGCGGAGCGAAAAGAGAGCAGCTCGCCGGTCGATCGCGGGCGAGGCGCCAACCGCCAGGCACAGCGACGACTGGCGAGCAAGGCGACGCGCACAGCGCGGCGCGGAGATCCCGCGACGCGCGCAGGTCGCTCCGAAAGGGCCCCAGCGACGCGCGCGGCTCGTCCGCGGCGCGGGGCCGCACAGCGAGACCGTCGAGAGGACGGGGCGCTCGGGCGGGTTGCCCTCCTGCCGGTCAGGCCTCGCGGATAAACTCGGCGAAGCCCAGCTCCCTGGCGAGGGCAGCCGCCACTTTCCGGCGCCGATTCGCGCGCGACGCAATCTGCCTCAGCTGCTTCCGCGAGCCCCCCGGCGGCACTGCCAGGAAGGACTCGATCCGCGGCGCCCGCGCGAGCAGGAGGTCCGCGCGGCGCGCGGCGCGCGAGAGCCGCGCGTAGAGCTCCAGCGACCTGTCGCCGACATCCTTCTCGCCGTTCCCGACCTCGCGGCGACCGCAGCCCAGGGCCGCGCCAGTCTGTCACGGGGCCGCGAAGCACGTTTCTAACATTCACGGCAAGGGGGGGATCGAGAACGAGAGGGTCGGAGAGGGAGAGGGGGAAGAGGGACCGATCACTCATCGGGGAAGACCAACCAGGGCCCGACGTCAACAGCAACACCGTCGAGCCCGAAACGCCTCCTTCCCTGGGCCCCGCTCGGGGAGGGGGCGGCATTCATTGCGCAGTCCACGCGCCTGTCCGCCGCGCGCGTGGCACCTGCAGCGGCGGCACGCAAAAACACAGGAGTTGTAGAACAGTCGAGGAAAACCATCGAATACCCGAGGAACTGGGGGCGGCGCCCGCCATAACCACGGATTCCGAACCCAGGGCCGCCTCGACAACAACCAGGAGAAAGCTTTCCGCCTGCCCTGGACGCACGGAAACAACGCCCACGCTGCCAGAGAACCTACCCTGCCAGCTCGACTGATGCGCAACTACACTTCTTCCAGCGTCACCAAAGGGGCGCCACTTAATTCGAAGCGGGCCCGCCGAGGGGGGGGGGCCAGCAAGATCACACACCAGCCTCGACACTAAAAGCAACTTAGACAGCCTCTCGATCTCCTCAGGCGACGGCCGCGGATGCCGCAACGCTGCCGTCTTGGCCAGCGGGTCGGCAACATCGTTACCCATGTTGTAATATCTGAGCCCATCGGACACTTCAGGGCCCTCAACAGCATGACCCTTTCACCTTGACAACAGACCGAAGCCCGCTCGGCTGCAGGTTGATGAAAGCACTGCTGTAAACTCACTCGTAGAGAAGCTGTTCCCTCGCAAGGAGGGTAAATTTGTGAACGACGCTTCCACAATCCGAATGCCCCTTGGGCCCAGGAAGGAGAAACTGCCCCACGGCAGAAATGGCAGTCAACTCGGCAGCCTGGGGCGCCTGCGGATTCGGGGCCCAAACAGGGCCGCGGGCAGGACAGGCAACTTCGCAGCCCTCGCTATAAACGACGACCCCCAACCTCCCCATGGATAGTTCAGGAACCACGTGGTTTTTATATATATTATGTTTTCAACAAAAAATCGCCCTGCACCTCCAACTCAGCGGGGCCCTCATTCCCCCCCCCTGGCCATTCTACAATAAAACCACCAGCATTCAACGGGCGAGGGCGCATGTCTCCAGGGTGCTCGAAGATCCCCCTCAGGAGCAATAATTTGGCCCCACGGTCCTGAAAATCCACCGCCGACGCATCGGCCCGCCTGCCCACGAGACGCCCGAAGACCCCCCCCCCCCCCCTACCAACAAGCAGAACAGAAATACACACGATGCTCCAGGGAGCCTGGCCGTCATCGCAAAGGCAGCAAGTGGCATCCCCCGACTGATACCCACGCCCCACTGCTACCTCCATCGCCCACGCAGCCCCGCAACACAATGCCTCGACGCAGCCCTTCTGCAGGGGGGGGGGGGGGGGGGGGGGGCGCTTGCTTGCAAGGACCGCGCGCGCCTGGTCGCAGCGAGGCGGGCGGCCGCGGGCAGCAACGGCTTGGCGCCGTCTCTCTCCAGAGATCTCAAAACCGCCTGGTGGAGCGCCTACCTGGTAAAAGATGGGCTACACAACGCGGGAAGAGCCACGCCCCCGAAATCGCCGACCAACTCCACGCAGAAATTCAGTCGTCCAACCGATGCGTTTGAGGGACATATCAACATAGCTAAAATGGGCCCGCCCGCGGCCCTCCAGGATTTCTTCTCCGGAACCTCGCTGCG